TAGTCTGAATACAGTCTGATACACGTTCGTTATGACTTATCTTGGGGGTGGGGAGGTTATGTGAATATATATATATATATATATATATATATATATATATATATATATATATATATATAATATATATATATATATATATATATATATATATATACACAACACACACATACACACACACACACACACACACACACACACACACACACACACACACACACACACACACACACACTATATGAATAATTAAAGTATAATGAACCCCTGTCAATGCTTAGTAATAACCCACATAGAGACAGAAATTCAAGGGGTTGATTGATCTATATATTTCGATTGCTTTCTGGGGTCCTCTTCAGCAGACGAAGAGGATCTCAGAAGCGAGTCGAAATATACAGATCACTCAGCCTCGTGAGTTTCTGTCTCCATGTGGGTTATTATTGAATATATATATATATATATATATATATATATATATATATATATATATATATATATATATATATATATATATATATATTATATAATCTTCCCCTTCTCTACTTCGATATCTCTCCCTTTCTCGTGTCCACAGTTTGCCGTGTTCTGTGTCAAGCAAGGGACGACCACCCCTCTGTGTAAACATGTCTCTGGATTAATTAAACTGCCTCGGGGAGGTAAAATTCCGAGCAGTGTGAGCAGGTTCTCTGGGAATTGGGCAGTTTGGAGCCGCTTAGATTTACCTTTATTGGCGATCCACCAGCAGCTGACCTGTTTTCTTCTGTTCTTTCTTGTCTGTGTCTCTCTCTCTCTCTCTCTCTCTCTCTCTCTCTCTCTCTCTCTCTCTCTCTCTCTCTCTCTCTCTCTCTCTTCCTTCTCTCAAAATAGTATTTGATGATTTACTACATGAAAGGACGACAGGAAATGGTATAAAACAGCTAAAGATCTTAGTAACGCAAGTCACAAGCGGAATCCCTCAAGACTCTTTGGTTCCTTCAGTATTTTTTAATACACGATCAAAGTCACAAATAAAAAAAGACCTGAGGTACCAAAATTTTAAGAAATTTTGTTTACCTCCTCATGGCGATTTATTCAAAGTACAAATACAAAACAAATGCGGAACAAAGCGATATTAATACTAAATCTAGCAATATTGTATTCTGGAGGGTAGCGCGTGAGATGAGGATCCCTGAATGATCCTTGGACCTGTAAGAAGCTACTGAGTTATTCCAAGACGTCGGTGAAGCTTAGTAGCAAGCATTGCTCCTTCAGCCGGCACTGAATTATCTCAACCTACCCTAAAATTATAACTGTTATCTGTGTTGGGGCCCTCGAACTTACAGGATAAAAATTGGTCTTCATTCTCGAAAAGTTTGGAAACCACTGGGTTACATACAACTTTCATTCGTTCCACATAGTTCCAGGGAATTTGCTTCACATTTAATGGATACTGATGTTATGATTCACGGTTCCCATACTCGGAAAAGTCGGAAACCACTGGGTTAGATGAAGTTTTTGAGAATCATTGACTTTTCATTAATCTTCCCCCAGATGTTTTTTTCTGGGAATTTACTAAACGTTTACGAGTTGTTAATAATTCCAAGCGAGTCTAACTTGTCAGTAGTCTGGAAGGTGTCTTCCTGAGTCTGGCTTCTGAAGCTGTCATGTTTAGCATCCTAGTTAACTGTTTTAATATTTTAGTTTAGATTTGTTTTCTCCTTTTGTCTCTCAGATTATCGTATTATTAATGTATTAATGGAAATGGTTGAATTAGTGGTGATGGTGGAAGAAGAAGTGGGGGTGGTAGTGTTTATTAGAAGTTTTTGGTGGCTGTGGTTAGTGATAATGGTAGTAGTTGTAGTGATGTTGGTAGAAGGGGTTGTAGTGGTGGTTGTAGCAACAACTGTGGTAGTGAGTGTGACATGTAATACTGCAAGTATGGTGACGTTGAATATTCCTGCGTTTTGTATACACAGTCAATTCAATGTTTTACAGGGCACACGGTACTTAATACTGTATTTTTTATTGCTGTTATAGTAAGTACATTCTTAGCTCTCATGTCTACATCTTCTCTCTGTCTTCCCTTCACCTTTTAAGGGAAGGAGAGCCGGTGAAGGGCTCTTGAGTCAAGAAGCTGGAGTAACCTTTCCATTCCATTGATTAAAACTACCTCCCATGCCTTGCGGGTTTAGTGCCCACATAGTAAAATTAGATACCTGGTTTTCTTAGCTGACTGTTGTGGGTCACATCCAGGAAAAAATGTGTTTTTAGAAAACTCCTGTTTTGCTGGAATGTCATATTCTGAGTAAGAAAACACTCCAGTCCTGTGTAAGACAACTCCAGTACCTGCTGGAAGAATTCAGGTGTTGAATAAAAGGTAACCGTGTACCCAGCGACGCTAAAAATCACCTTTTCTTTTTATTCTCTGTCATTTTCGCCCTACATCCCCCATAATCTCGTCTTCACAACAAACTCACTACATGATACTTCCGTCCCTACCAGAACATTATCCAGTTCCGAGTAAAAGAGAAAGGGGGATTTGATAATGATCTAGGGCGGATGAACAATTATGAACATTTCGTTAGTCACTGGTGTTGCACATATACAACAACTTATCGGTTTTGAATATCATTAGTTAAAAGATTCAGTCGTACATTTTCTTCTCCAGCTTCGCCCCATCATCACCTGTTTATCCCCTACTCTCCGTTCCTCCCTCAGTCTCCCTTCCATCCTTATCTTCCCGACGAGGTCGTGTCCTCAAACAATATCACAGCATCAGTGGCATTTATCCTTCCACCTCTGAGAAACATAAACCTTATGTTTACCAGCAATTAACCTGTTCCAACAACTGCCACCAAAAGGTAGGTCTGTGAAGCATGTTGTTGCAATGCTTTTATGGCTCTCATTGAAGTATATGACGTGTTGGTTAAGACTGGTGTGTGTGTGTCCTAACCTAATTGTATTTAGGAAGGTCGAGTCCTAGCTCCTGGGTCTCCCTATCAACCTTGTTTAACTAATATATCTATTTGGATTTCGTCATTCGCAACTATCATACCTACTTTTCCGAGTATGTATGAAGTCAAACATCACCGGATCTGCTCCTAAGTTCCATATTGTGCTGAATAATTTTACGGGTTTAACGATTCACAAATAATAATTATAATTTTAATAATCATAATTTTAATTATAATTTTAATTATAATTTTAATAATTATAATTTTAATAAAAACTCAGGGACCAGCTCTGTTGCAAATCTGGAGCTTCTCCAGCTTCTTCTCTAGAACAGGTCTCATACTCGTGTTTATAATATAAATATAAAAAAAGGGGACCTACCGAACAGAGTGAATAAGCAATACCTACCTCAAAGTACACAGAAAAGACAAACAAGAGAGAATTTGGAAGTCTACTCCGAGGATATCTTTTTAAGAGAATCATTTACTTCTATGTAAGATAACTCAGTGACGAAGTCGAAATGAAAACCGTCTTGGAGCTTAGGATGTATCTTGAATATATACATAGTTAGGTTCCTGAATGGCAGTCATTATTGTTGCTAGCTTTGACTCGACTGTTGAGGCGTTTATACAGGTACAGGTAGACAGTGTACCTCTCTTAATTACACACATCATTTCACTGTTGTAATGACAGTCAGCTGGGAGACTTACGAAGACTCGACTTTTATCATCATATTTTTACATTTTACCTTCGTGCTATCTTGCAATTGGTATTTTTTTAGTTATAGAGGATAACCCAACCTAACCTAACCCAACCTAACCTAACCTAACCCAACCTAACCTAACCTAACCCAACCTAACCTAACATAAACCAGAAATTTGCTGCAAACTGTATGTGAGAAAACCACACAGATACTTGAGGGAATTAAAAGGATGGAGTCCGTACAGACGGGCCTTGCTTTACGGCACTTCGCTTTACAGCGTTTCGCTAGTGCAGTGGTTTTCATTTATACCCATTTTCCATTTATTCAGACTTCTTACAAAAAATATATTCACCACTCGCTATAACCTAAGCACGAAAATGTTTTAAGGTAAGTAATGTGTGTACTGTACTGTAAACATTTTTTCGGGCTTTAACAAACATTTGAAAGTGAGAAAAGGGCTATGTTTCACTTTACAGCAGTAACCCAGAACCTAACCTGCTGTATAAACAGAGCCCTCCTGTATACACACAGTTTCACCCCACTAGCTTCAACAGTGCTGAAGAATAGCATGGTACTCGTGGCTTGAGTATGCCAATAGTACTCTATGATAAGGAGTACCTTGCTTCCCAAGCCAAGAATAAGACCAGTCTGTCAATGTCACAAGCGCTCGAGCATGGGGGACAAGAAAACTAAATATTAGTACTCTATAATCCGGCCTAACACTGAGGTCCTCTTCAGCAGACTGCTTTATTATCTGTGTGTGGAGTCACACTGTACCATTACTAACCATGTCAAAACGGCGTTTCTTTATTGTGCTGAAAAAACGGACATAGAGCTAAAATAGTGAACATTATTTTCTCAAAAGAGTAGAACTTATTTTACCAAAATAGCGGGATGCTTTTGTGTCCAAATTGTAAATATTATTATGTCAGAATAATAAATATCAGTGTTTCATAATAGTAAATATTTTGTCAAAACAAACATTCCTGTGTCAAAATATTGGACATTTTTTGTCGTATAAACAGTGAATGCTATTGTCAAGAGAGTAAACATTATTGTGTCAAGACAGTGAATTTTACTGAGTACAAATGGTAAACATTATTGCGTCAAATCTGTACTTATTGTGTCATAACAGAGCTGGTAGATATTATGGTGTTCAAACACTTTGCTAAACACCTCAAACTACTGACATGTCACCGGTCATACCTGTAATAGTGTCATTTCTTCGTCTGTAAAACACTGCCACGTTATTCAGTCAAAACCATCACCAGACATTGACGTGTTACCAGTCATATCAACACTGCCATTATATTAACAATGGAGAAATAAATCTAGGTTAAAATTAATCTGGAAACCATGAGATAACACTGACCTTGTCAGAATTCACTTCGTCTCGGCCACATTACACCCACGTCTCTGAAAAAAAAATTGTATATATTTTTCAACTTGAAGAAAAAAAATGAATATATGGTGACCTGTCGTGACCTCTCTTGTCCCTCCTACCTTCCACCTCCTTCCTTCTTCCTACCACCTCCATCTTTCCGTTCTCTTCCATTCTAATTCCCTTATTGTTCCTCTACCTTTTTTCCTTTTCAATCCCACCTCCATTCTCTTTATCTTCCAGCCTCTTCTTCATCTGGTTTCTTCTCTCCTTCCCACCATCCTCGAATTTGCTCTCCTTCCTTCACAAATTCATGTTTAGATCACATATTCACATTCAGAACACACATTTATGATACGAATGTGAAGAAAGGGAAATGATACAATTAAAAGAATGAGAGGGAGAGGGAGGACACAGATGGTAAAGCATGGAAAAGAAAGAACAGATATAATAAGAAAACCAGAGCTGGGAAGAAATAACGAGGAACGAAAAGCAAGGAGAGAGAATAGTGTGTCAACACACATGTCAACACACATGTCAACACACATGTCAACACACATGTCAACACACATGTCAACACACATGTCAACACACATGTCAACACACATGTCAACACACATGTCAACACACATGTCAACACACATGTCAACACACATGTCAACACACGTCAACACACATGTCAACACACATGTGAATCATTAAAGTCACTGAGACTAAAACTTTGCGTACAAAATTTACATAAATAAAATAATGACAATAGGCAACAGAATGCAACTGTTTATCCAGTTCAGAAGCCAAATTGGTCGGATTAAGCTAATTTTGATGCGCTGATTACGACTCAGAGTTTGTTTAGTCTCTATCACCTAAGATTTTCTTGAAATAATTGGTAAAGAAATTAGTATCCTACTGCGAAATTTTTATCAAAATAATACAAAATCACTATACCGTGACTGGAACGACATACAGATAACCCGCATTTAGGAGACTGTAATTTACGACAACGTTTCGGTCTGACTTGGACCATTTACTAATGCAAACCGGACCGACACGTCGTCGTAAATTTTAGTCTCCTAAGTGAGGTTTTTTTGTGTGATTTTTCTTAGCTTTGAATAACGAGTGGAAACTCTACCATCACATCTTATGATGTGATACTTTTACTGAGGGACTTAAGCTAGCGGAAGGTACTTGTAGAAGTAAAGATTATTATTATTATTATTATTATTATTATTATTATTATTATTATATGACCAAGAGCTCCAGTAAGTGGTTATCACTAAGTCAAGAGACACAATAACTTGCGCGTTTCTCCTTACAAATATATTACCAACAAGGAATTAGAAGACGTGGTGGGTTGAGAGAGATAATTCACAGAGCAGAAGAGGGGCTGTTGAAATGGTATAGCCATTTAGAAAGACTGGAGCACAATACGATGATTCAAAGCGTATATAAATATGGGGTGGATGGAAGGAGCTGTAGGAAACGACCCAGAGAGTGTTGGAAAGAGGATGCAAGAGAGAGAGAGAGATTGAGTGGAAGTTGCTTGAGACTACAGCAGGTATGAAATGTGTTAAAATGGAGTGGAGACAAGTAATTTTGTGGGGATTTCATGTGCTGTTGGAGTGTGAGCAAGGATATATCTATGAAAGAATTCAAGAAAACCGACTTGATAGAATCTGGCTTATGTACAATGCCTGTAATTTGTAAATGGGGTAAGAATTTTACTGTATGGTAAGCTACACAATTAGGCGAGTACAATTAGGTGAGTACACACACACATCAGAAGCTGTGACTCGGCCCCTGTAACCACAACTAGGTGAGTACACACACGCCCGCGCGCGCCTGTGACAAGCGGGGTTCCACAGGGGTCAGTCCTAGGACCAGTGCTATTTTTGGTATATGTGAATGACATCACGAAAGGGATAGACTCAGAAGTGTCCCTGTTTGCAGTTAATGAGAAGTTAATGAGAAGAATTAAATCGGATGAGGATCAGGCAGGACTACAAAGAGACCTGGACAAGCTGGAAGCTTGGTCCAGCAACCGGCTCCTTGATTTTAACCCCGCCAATTGAAAAGTCGTGAAGATTGGGGAAGGGCAAAGAAGACCGCATACAGAGTATAGGCTAGGTGGGCAAAGACTACACACTTCACTTAAGGAAAAGAATCTTAGGGTGAGTATAATACCGAGCACATCTCCTGAGGCGTACATCAACCAGATAACTGCTGCAGCATATGGGCGCCTGGCAAACCTGAGAATAGCATTCCGATACCTCAGTAAGGAATCGTTTAAGAGTTTGCATACCGTGTACGTTAGGCCCATACTGGAGTATGCAGCAGCAGTTTGGTACCCACACACCTGGTCAAGCACGTCAAGAAATTAGAGAAAGTGCAAAAGTTTGCAACAAGGTTAGTTTCAGAGCTAAGGGTAATGTCCTACGAAGAAAGGTTAAGAGAAATTGGCCTGACGACACTGGAGGACAGGAGTGTTAGGAGAGACATGATAGCGACATACCAAATACTGCGATGAATTGACAAGGTGGACAGAGACTGGATGTTAAAGAGATGGGACACCGAAACAAGGGGTTACAATTGGAAGTTGGACTCAGATGAGTCAGAGATGTTAGGAAATATTTCTTTAGTCATAGAGTTTTCAGGAAGTACAATACTCTGGCAAGCGATGTAGTGGAAGCAGGAACCATACATAGTTTTAAGACGCGGTATGATAAAGCTCGTGGAGCAGGGGGAGAGTGGACCTAGTAGCGATCAGTGAAGAGGCGGGGCCAGGAGCTATGTCTCGACCCTTGCAAACACAAATAGGCGAGTACACACACACACACACACACACACACACACACACACACACACACACACACACACACACACACACACACACACACACACACACTCACACACTCACACACACACACTCACATACTTAAGTTCCTTTTCCCCTGTTGAAAATATTGCGTAAGTTTGGGGATGAACTTAAGGGCCACCAAACTCATAAGAGTCCATTACCTACCTTCCCTAACAGAGGCCCCTCACGTGCTCTACCTCACCCTGCGCTTCCTCACCAGCTTTCCCCTCACTCAGGGTCTCACCAGCTCTCCCTCACTCTGCATGTTCAGCACGAGGTGCAATTTGTCTCTCACACACACACACGATCAGGCGTGGAAAGCGATACCTTGTGTCCGCAGCAGAATTGTAACAGTTAACCCAACAAATGCTGGAGTAACTATAATATTATTATTTTATTATTATTATTATTATTATTATTATTATTATTATTATTATTATTTTGTTTTGTCTCTATATGGGTTCATTTATACTATAGCCAAATGTGTTGAAATGTTAGTTTACTCTTTTCATAATTTACTGTGATCTTCCCAGCCTTAATACTGTGTTACTATTCACTGTCCTTTAGCATACCGTTAACTGTCCTTTAGCATACCGTTAACTGTCCTTTAGCATACCGTTAACTGCTAGCACACTGCTTCATGATCCTTCAGACAGAGCATCTTTGTCCTTGATGGGAGAGTCATCCCAGGTGTAGCACATGTGGAAATGGGTTAGGAGAGGAAGTGGTGGAGACCATTTTATAATCAGTTTAATAATTGGATGAAAAGACCGTATGGAAGCCAGAATCGAGTGAATCACAACCCACCAAACTCAGGAGCCAGTAATGAAAATTTTCGATAGGTAAGGTTTGTCAGGAAACAGACAAGTGTTTCCTGACGAGGGTCTTAGTCATATGATGACCCGCCGTTGGAGCTTTTGGTCATCTGACCGAGGCCTTCCGCTGGCTTACCGGTCCACCCGTTTAAAAGTTATGGTCATAGTTATAACCATTTCCCTTATGACGAAAATCTTAGTCCTCCATACCCTCTACTTCGCATATATAAATCGGTGAATAATATACACACACGCAGGGAGAGAGTGATCTAGTAGCGACCAGTGAAGAGGTGGAGCCAGGAGCTAAGACTCGATCCCTGCAACCACAATTACGTGAGCGCGCGCGCACACAAACACACACACCAAATCGGTGATTGCCCACACATGCAAGTATTCTGCATTCACGTACACGTCCAACAGCAAAACATCACCATGGCTTGCCCCATTGAGTATTGTGGTCCTTTGGTCTTATCTGGTCCGTGATTGAGGATATCCGGCAAGGACCAACATGAGCCAGAAGCGTGTTCCCGTCCTCAGTGGCAGCATAAACAAAGCTTGGCCTGCCGGAGGGTGTCCAAGGGTATTGGTTATTGTCAAGAGCTGGGAGAGGGAGAGGGAGGAGCATGTGAGTGGGGTATTGTGTGTGAGGGGAGCAGGTGAGAGGGGTGGTGTGAAGGGAGCAGGTGAGAGGGGTGGTGTGAGGGGAGCAGGTGAGAGGGTGGTGTGAGTTTAGAGGCGTAGGAGGGAAGTTGTGTATTAGGGGAGCATGTGGGATGGTTGTTTTGTGTGAGGGGAGAATGTGAGAAGGGTGTTGTGAATTTGGATAAGGTGTGGGAGGGAGGGTAGTAATTATTTTTGTGATTTGTAGCAACAGAAGCATACCTATGTAAGAAATCCTATGCGAGGATCATTGTGAGTTTGGGGAGGATGTGACTGAGAACTATGAGAGTAAAACAGATGGAATGAGGATCAAGTGAGAGAAGAGTTACTATGGAGAGAGTGAGTAACAGAGGAGAGAGAAAGGTGCAGAGGGGGGAGAGAGTTACAGAGGAGAGAGAGAGTTACAGAGGAGAGAGAGAGTTACAGAGGAGAGAGAGAGTTACAGAGGAGAGAGAGAGTTGCAGAGGAGAAAGAGAGTTACAGAGGAGAGAGAGAGTTACAGAGGAGAGAGTGAGTTACAGAGGAGAGAGAAAGGTACAGAGGAGAGAGAAAGGTACAGAGGAGAGAGAAAGATACAGAGGAGAGAGAAAGGTACAGAGAAGAGAGAAAGGTACAGAGGGGAGAGAAAAAAAAGAGAGGTACAAATGAGAAAGATTAGCAAATGAATAGAACCCATAGAGTTAACCATATATATAAATTAAACATT